ACACATATCGGTGTAAGAAAAAAATGTATTCAATAGACTGAAGTCAATATCAAAACCACCATTGTTAAATAAAATTATTTGTAAAACGAATCAAACCATACAACACCAGAATTCTGGAACTGAGTGAGGTTTAATGTCACCGGAGCTGACAGGAAACCACACTGGCGAAAAACCAGGAAGTTCATCAATTTATACATGATTCTTCAATGCCTGTGTTCGCCCCCTACTGACCTACGGCTGAATCACAGGCATTCATAAAAAAATCTCACCTACTGTTCTCATAAAGGTTGATTATGTGTTGTTATATAATTCGGACATGTAACAAGAACCTATTTCAATCAAAACATAATAGATTAAACATTATCAACATTGTAAAAAAGAAAACCTAAAAAATATAGTGTTGTGCTTTTAACATCAGTACTAACCTCTAATAACTATAAATTTCTTCACAGTAATATTTGGGGTCACAAGTTTTTGCCATAAATATTTTGTGGGTCAGAAGATAAAAAGTTTGGGAACCACTGCCTWACAGGACGCTCCGAGTGCAGCCTGCAGTCAGCTGTCAGAATACAGGCAGGCAGGCGTTTGTCTGGCGCTGCGTAGGGCTGTGTGTTGGCAAGAATTTGACAATATGATTCATATCATGACACAGATATATATTGTAATACTGTCAGCAAGGCGATTTATTGCAATATATTGCCATTTTTTGTCCAAAAATTATCTAAAAAAACAAAGTACGTTTTATATGTACTTTATTTGTTTCATATTTCTATCCATGTTTTCAATTGCTAAACTTAATGGTCCATTAAATAGTTTGAGAACATATTTGTGGCAGTTTTTAGATTTTAATATTAATTTAGTACAAAAATATGGTCAACCAAAACACTAACAATAGACTAGATCTTGTCCTAACACACACACACACACACACACACACACACACACACACAGCTGATTGTGTGTCAGCTTCTGCCTGCATCCACATGTCCCTGGTCACTGCACACACAGGGTGAGGTGTGTGAAACAGCTGAAATGAGAGTGTGTGTGCACCAAGCAGGCAGCCAGGCAGGTTGAGCTTCTTCTGAACACCTGATGCAGCAGAAAKCACAGAAAATGGCCGACCTTAGAGAACAGAGGCTCAGGTGATTTCAGAGGAGATTGGACTAAAGACTGATTGTGGTAGTGGGCAAAAAAAATGATGAACGTCACATTTTGTTTTAGTTCTGAATCTACACAATCAGATGCTGGAGGAACAGAACGTTATTGATTTAGCAAAGCGATTGAACAGTGGTTAGTGCTGCTGCCTCACAGAAAGAAGATCYCAGGTTCGCCTCCCYCCTGAGGCCTTTCTGTGTAGAGTTTACATTTTCTCCCTGTGCAACCATGCGTTTTCTCCAAATACTCCAGTTTCCTCCCACAGAACAAAAACATCTATGTTGGGTTAACCTGTAACTCTAAATCATCTCTAGCTTTGAGTCAGAGGGTGAATGGTTGTTTATCTGTCTGTGTCCCTGTGATGGACTTCAGACATGTCCAGTACAGGTGCAACAATACATATATCTGTATTGAATCATTCAATCCAGAGCTTTAGGTTCAATTAGAGCTGCCACAAATGATTTTTATAATCGATTAATCATCGATTATTTTTTCAATTACTCGACTAATCAGATCATACGTTAATTAAATATAAAACATACAGTTTATCGTGCCAGAATGCAGCTGCTATTATACAGTATAAACATCACTGGATTTTAGCTATATGCTAACTAAAAATAATTGTAGAAGGCAAGTTCTGCTCTGCAGATATTACACA